AGCTGTTAGCTTTGGTTGAGACATTGAATCTTAACTGTTTAAGCTCTGCCTATATAAAGCCTTCATCTCCCTCCTTGGTAGATCACTATGCTTTCGAAAATCGCTCACGTCTTCGACGAGAATAGAGTGCTCTCTCTCCTCATTTCCTCTAAACATCGAGATGACTCCCAAATCGGAGAAGGTTGCTTCCAAGGGGAAGGGGAAGGCTTCCTCTTCTGCCGCCGCCGCTGTTACAATTGCCTCTGGCATGGCCCAAACCCGTTATGGTGAGTTTAAGGGACTACAGGATAGGACTGAGTCCATGAGTGAACAAGACAAAGAAGATGAATGGTGTTTGTTCATCTTCTAGGGAGAGCTTCGTCTACTCAGGCGAAGTTCTTCTATCCAGGTGAGCACCGCTTCCCAAAATACCTAGGAATCGGGACGCGAATAAGCTCGCAACGTATTAGACTGGGGAGAAATAAATACTAGACCATTTTTACTTAATCTAATACGCTAAGCGTCAAACAATAAAGTGCGAAGTCACAGGTCCCCGATCATAATTAGCAAGAATATAATAAACAACTCAGACAGAAAAGAGCCATATCACAAATAGTATATCATCTGAGACATAAAATTTGGGTCAAACATGCCCTTATTATAAAACAGTTCAACTAAGTACTAAAGAAATATGAAAATACATCGTCCAACAAAAATAGAAAGGAAGTACTGCAAAAATAAACTAAGTCCATCAACTGACTAACAGTGGTAACTAAGTTTCGGCTTCTTCTTCAACTCTATCTGCAAAACACTCCTGCTGAGGATACTCAGGCTATGGTGTGTCTCCAAGATGGACATGTCTGTCCTCTAATTCTGACGTACAACCCGAGAAAACAGGAGTACGTCAACATGCATGACACACGGTAAGATCCGACAAGGGAGAATGGAAACGATCAAACGACTAATGTAAGAACAGTAATAATAAATAGAAACATGCAGTTGGAATACTAACAAGCTAGATGCAATCCACCACTAGAGTATAACAATCAGAAGAATCCATAAACATCCGAGTAACAATGTTATACAACTAGATAGAATTAATACTTAAAAATCTACAACACGAGATGTAGTACGTCGAGCGAAATAATCCAAATAAGAAAACCCTCATGTATATACCATATGTCTCAAATTAATAATCCAAATAAGAAAACCCTCATGTATATACCATATGTCTCAAATTATAGATAATTAAATATTAATCCTGATCTATGTACCCTCATGTATATACCATATGTCTCAAATTATAGATAATTAAATATTAATCCTGATCTATGTATGAAAAATATATAACTGGTCCGTATCTCACAAGAATTCATAATCATCCAAGTAACGAGGTCATGTAACTAGTCATCCTATAATAGGTCATAGTACACATCTCACATAGAGTCAACATTCATATTCTCGGATAACTGACTATTCACAAATCCTCTACATGCATCCAATACCGCTACACGAATCGGTCAGAGTACTACACGCAATCCGATTTTGGCCTGGTCCGAACTCAAGTAAACTTGAGTGACGAAATAAATTCCCACTGACCAAAGTGACTACACAAATTCACTTTGACCAATATACCAACCCCAGTTCCTACACAAATTCACTGGTGTGAACCTGGAAGATACATAAATAGCCACATCTGATCACATGAACCAAGTCTTTCCCATCCTTATTCTTCTTGTTTTTCTATGTCAACATACACATGTCTCTAGGTCTTATACAAGGCCACTAAAGTCATGAACTACTAACGGTCCTCAATCACAACAATAATAAATACAACTAATCATGAACACTAATGTCATGACATATCACAAATAATCAAAATTAAGAGTCATAAATTATGAACAGCATCTATGTAATTCATAAAATAACTTTTTTCCAAAACAATTTCCTTTAAATTATTTTCTCATATACTTATTCAATATAAACCCTTTTTCAAAATAACTCCTTTTAAATTATTTATTATTATAAGAATTCAAAATAATCCCTTATTCCAAAATAAACTCTTTTAAATAATTCTAAAAATATTCTTTAAATATTCTTTTTAATATTCCCTCTTCCAAAATAAATTCTTTTCTTATTATAATAATTTTAAAAATAATCTTTAAATATAATAATCTATTAATTCAAACAATCTTTTTCTCTGAAAATAATTATTATCCTTACAATATCAGTTATTCTCATCTATCATCAACCAATCCATGCAGATAATAATTGATCACAGTTTAATCTATGCAACTAATTTAATGATAGATATAAATATGAAATGACGAGTCAAGAGAAGCGAGATCTTGCTAGCGAGGCCAAGGGCCTATGGACGAGACGGCGGCGGTGATGAGAGGAGATGACGATAACGGATCTGATGGTTGAGGGGCGGCAAAAAGCGGGGTTGTGCGTTTGTCGGTATGAGGATCTGATCTCAGGATGATTCGACGGGGAAGCTCAGGGGGCTAGTTGGGAAGCTGGATGATGAACTGCAGCTCAGGGGGCTAGTTGAGAGAGAGAGAGAGAGAGAAATGTTTATATAGGAAGGATTAAGGTTAGGAAGATAATTAGGGGAATCATTACTATAAAATAATTTTAATAAAAAATAAAAAATCAAATATTAATTTAAAAGTTTTTACTATGATAATTAAATTTACAATTAACAAAACTATTAAAATAAATATAAAACAGGATTTTTAAATCATAGAAAATTCTAGAAAATTAAGAAAATATAAACACTCTTTTAAAAATAATATTTTAATATTTTAAAATACTAAAAAAATATTTAAACTAGTATCAAAAATTTATGGTCATTACAGGTACAGAGTTGTACTCTACCATCAGGGCCACGCAACATGGCCTAAAGATCAATGTCCCCCAGTTCCAAAGCATATTGG